TGGCCCGCGCGCTGCCGCCTCGCGCGCCGCGGCCGCATCCCGCGCTCCGGCGGCTTCGCTCCCCTCCGGGGCAGCCGGACACTTGGAATTTCCCCCTGGGGTCCCGCGCGGACAGGGCAGAGCAGTACCAGGATGCCCCTCTGCCCCGTGGCTCTCCAAGGGCGTTATTCCCTATTTTCTGCCCCGGGAGGATGCGGGCGGAGCAGAGCTGCTCCTTCCCCAAAGCCGGGCAGTCTGATGAAGTCCACAGGATGTTTGGGAGGGCTGGAGCAGGGAGCCCTGCAGCAAAGTGGGACCGAACGGCGCAGGGCAGCCCCACGTCCCTGCTCATCCCGACCGGCCCAGGAGGCAGCGGCTCCCACTGCTTGGGTGTCCCTGGGACACGTGGCGCGTGTCAAAGTCACGCTCCTTTCTCAAATTGCGGAACACTGACCCCAAAACCAAGAGGTTTCGCGTTGCGTCCTCACTCGCGCCTGAGGACGGGCCCAAGGAAGAGCCCGGGTGAGGTTCTGCAAACACTTCAAGGGCCGGGATGATGAGTGGAGATGAGAGAAATGAGTCCGGGGACTCGCACACCATTTTGCACGTGGCAGCAAAAAACAAGGGAAACGCAAACTTTGGAAATGTGTCACTTCTGCCCCTGGTTTCCAGGATTCTCGTTTGAGGGGAGCCAGCTGGAAATCTGATGCTAATGGGATGATCTAGTGGAAATGGTGAATTTTAAAACAGGAGGAGGTAAAGAGAGCAGCTCAGGGGCTGCCGAGCGCTCTGGGATAGATGGAAGATGCACGAGGTGTTTTCTAAGCCCTCCTTCAAAATCCAAATTTCTACCTGTTTCTCATTGTTTCTTCGAGGAGCATCAGAACCCCCTAGAAGGGATATTCCAAGGGGAACACGGATTGTGGTGGGAGAGGCTGAGCCGAGAGGGCTCTGCCAAGAAACCCCCGAGTTTTGGCTTCCCCATTAGTGAGGGGGCTGCTGCGGTGAGAGGGGCCACGGAAAGATGGACCCAAGAGTCCAATTCCTGCAGGGAGTTTTCTCACGTTTGTGCCATTTGCGCCGTTCCCCAGCGACAGGTTGCAGCGAGCATCAAAAAATGCCTGTCTGAAATGACAAATAAGTCAAAAATAAGTCAAGAAAAGCAGTGAGAGCAGCAAACTCCAGGAGGAAGCAGGGAGGGAATTGGTGCGATGTTGGAGGCAGCGGAGGCTCCGCTCCATGTGGAGGATGCTCGGGCAGCCCTAGGGAAGCGCGAAGGAGGTGCTCATCTGCATTGTGTCCCGCTGGAAAACTTGAGTTGTTTTTCTTCTTAAAAATCACTTTTTTACCATTCGTCTCTGGTGGAGGCTGGAGGGGGGTTGTTTAAACAGCGAGGAGACCGATAAGCCCTAAGAGATTTCTTTCTAGTAATTATTTCTAGTAATTAGCTGCGTCTCAGAGAAGGGTTGCTAATCGCAGGGGTAGCGTGGGCAGTCAGTTCTTCCTGGACAACGGATTTAACCTGGCCACGGATGGGGCTTGTTAATGCTCCCCTTTTGTTTTGTTTTGTTATTGCAATTTTTCCAAGTTAAATTTGCAATTTTTCCAAGTGAGATGTGCAATTTTCCAAGTTAGATTTGCAGTTTTCCAAGTTAGATTTGCAGCTTTTGCTGCTTTTCCCCTTTGCGCGTCGCTGCCAAACGCGCACCCTCGGGCACTGCCGCACGCCTCGTTTCCAACATGGACCGAGCAAAGTGCAAAAGAAGAAACCTCAGATGAAAGTCACAGGTTTGGGGGTTTTTCCCCTTTTTTTTGTGCAGACTCGCTCTGTTTTGCAATCTCCCTTTTACTTTTCCCCCTTGCAGGTGCTCTGGAAGCAGGAGGGGGCCCTGGCTGCCGTGTGCCGGTGACTCGGCCGGCCGGGATCCCGCTCCTTCGGGAGCCATCGCGGCCGCCCCACGGGTATTTCTGTCGAGCCGCTGCGGCAAATATAGCAGCTAAGCAGCGCTTTGGAAAATTAGGTCATTTAGGAGATCCGGCCTCTGCCACGCTGACCTCCGTTTACTTAACGCTTAAGCCTCCAAAACGAACTGGGAACGGGGAGCGGGAAGGCGAGGAGGGTCCTGCTGCCCCCGGATCCTCCCGGGCTCTCGGGTTTGGAAGCAGCTTGGCAAAATCCTCTGTCCCGTCTCCGTTTCCGTTGCGATTGCAAGGCTGTGCTTAAAAGCAGCAAGAAATTCCTGGCGTGTTTGCAGACAGGCAGACTTGTTCCTTTTGTGCCAAAGTGCCTGATTTCCCCCCAAAAAACTCCGTGTTGCACTGAGGAGGGGGAAACCCCAAAGCCAAGGGTTATCCCGGGGTCCCGGCTGCTCCGCAAGGCTGTTTCGGCGTGGAAACATCTCAGCCCCACGTGCGTTGGGTTCTTCTTTCTTTGTCCCTTTTTTCCCTGCAAACGCTATTTGCGGCCGCGCGTGGGCAGGCGCCGGGAGCGCGTTTGCCGCGTGGGAGATGCCCCGGTGCGGAGCGAGGAGCGGCGGGAGCGCAGGGAGGATTTGGG